TTCCTCCCTTCCCCTCACTCTAAAAAGTAAGTAAGTAAATAAATAAAATAGACGAGTGGATAAAAAGTTGTGGTACATATATACAAAGGAGTATCACTTGGCCATAAAAAGGAATGAAACCTTACTACTTGCAACAGCATGGGTGAATTTAGGGGGTGCTGTGCTATAGAGGGGCTATGCTAAGTAAAGTAAGTCAGTCAGAGGATGACAAATACCATATGATTCCGCTTATATGTGGAATCTAAAGAACAAAGTTGAAACAGGCTCACAGACACAGAGGGCAGACTGATGATTGTCAGACGATAGGGGAGCTGGGAGACTGGGTATAAAAGGTGAAGGGACTAAGAAGTACAAATGGAGGCCCTGGCTGGCATAGCAAAATGGATTGAGCACGGGCTGTGAACCAAAGTGTCGCAGGTTCGATTCCCAGTCAGGGTACATGCCTGGGTTGCAGGCCATGACCCCCAGCAACTGCACATTGATCTCTTTCTCCCTCCCTTCCCTCTCTAAAAATAAATAAATAAAATCTTGAAAAAAAGAAGTACAGATGGGTAGTTACAAAATAGCCACAAGGATGTATAGCATAGGGGAGATAGTCAATAATATTGTAATGACTACGTGTGGGGTGCCAGGTGGATACTGGAAATATTGGGGGAGACACATTGTGAAGCATGTGACAGTCTAACCACTGTGCTGTACACCTCTAAACTAGTACAAAATAATACAGAAAAAGAAAAATACAACTTCGTACATTTGGAGATCTAATTGGGTTTAGGAAGCGTTAATGAACTGGGCATCATTCTCGTCTCGAAACAAGAAGGATGCTTACAGGAGCTGCGCACCACGGAAGGTTCTTCTGGGCAGGAAGAGAGGGGGACGAGAGAGTGAGAAGAGTGGGTCCTTGTGGGCGCAGCCACCTTCCTTTAGGAGAAGGCGGGAGGTTTTATCAGGCAGATTATCTCTCCAGGGCTGACCAGGAAATTCCAGACTGATTGGTTTAGAATTCCACTCTGGGGAGAGACTCCAAAAGCACTTAAGTTAGGAATTAAGCCTTGGTGGGGCTTAGCGAAACCGATTCCATGTTGGCTCTGCTGTTTCTTTTTAACAGCTCTTAATAAAATGTCCCTTAACTTTGATCGGTCTGTTCTTTCCTCATGATTAGATTCAGGTTATCCATTTGGGTACGAACACCACAGAAGTGATGCTCTGTCTTTCTCAGTGTATCGTAGCAGGAGGTACATGTTATTGACTTTGATGCCTGGTAGCTCACGAGTTTCTCCACTGAGAAGTTACTTATGAATTAGGAAGGGAAAACAGTGTCTTCTGGGGAAACACTTTGAGATGAGATAAACACCCCTTTTCTCACCATGCTTTCACCCACTAATTCTAACATCCACTGATGATTCTTGCCTGAAACAACCATAATTCATTTTAAATTAGAATAATAATAAAGAGAAATGGTTGGTCATAGGCTAATTTATGACCAATACTTCATAAGTGAGAATATCCCTTAATCTTCTCTTTTTTCAGATAGCAGGTGGAATTCCCCATTTGTTTCACTGAATTATTCATGAGCCCTGGACCCCCTCTGAACAACCTGGGGTCCACGAGCCCCTGAGAGTACTATTTGTTGTAACTTCTGCTCACTGGGTGCTGTGGCCTTGTAGAAACCATCTTTCGGACTCTATACAAACCCTCAAGCCTTCACGCCACACGTCCCCCTCATTCCACGCAAACAGATCTGAGATTCCTCTGTACCCACGTGTACACGGCCTGCTCATCCTGGCACCTGTGGTGTCACCTGGGCTGCTCCTGGAAGGTGTGGCTCTGTCCCACCTGCCACTCCTTGTCCATCCATCTTCACAGGTTAGATACTTCCCACGAGGTTCAGCTCAAATCTCTGTTCTGCATGACGACTTTTATGGGAGGGTAGAGTCTGTCTTTTCTTCCTTTGATACTTTTCTGCACTTAACAATGAAGCTTGGGTCTCAGCACTCCCTGATGGTGGTGGTGGGTTTCAAAGAACATAGTTTCCCAAGAAATAATGAAGGGAGGTGCACGAAATGAATGAATTCTGAAGAAAAGAATGAGCTTTATGGAAATCCAGGGGAAATCACAGCAAAAAAGTGCCTTTTGAAATGGGCCTTGAAGGAGGCAGTTTTGAGCTGTAGGTGAAGATAGGAGGTTTTTCTAGATTGAGAAAAGTTGGTTGTAAAGTGGTCATACCTACAGAGACAAGGGACGATGTATTTGGGGTGGGCCTGGGAAGCATTCTAGATGGATTGGGTAAAGGGCTGAGAGGAGACTCAACCATTTCATAGAGGCTTTGACATTGTGTGGAGTGGGATGCTAGCTCATGTCCTGGGGCTTCAGGACAATAATCCTTGCAGGAACAAGGTGGGTAGACTGGATAAATATGTTGTTGAAGGAATGGACACCAAATGTTCCAGGCAGAAGGAGAGCACCTGAGTTTAGGCCGTAGTTGGGAAGGAGCAGACAACTTGTCGACAACCGGTGTGCTGCAGCTTCTCTGTAATTCTGAAATCCAAAAAGCTGGAAAGCTTTTTGGATTTCAGAATAAATAGATAAATTGCAGACAATTTTTTAAAAAGGTTTTTATTTATATGTTTTTAGAGGGAGAGAGAGAGAGAAACATCAATGTGTGGTTGCCTCTCATGCGCCCCCCCCCCCCCCACTGGGGACCTGGCCTGTAACCTAGGCATGTGCCCTGACTGGGAATTGAACTGGCAACCCCTTGGTCACAGGCCAGCACTCAGTCTACTGAGCTACACCAGCCAGGGCAATTGCAGACAATTTATTTGGTAGAAAACCCTGACTTGAACCGATATGAAGCTGTTTGTTGTCTTTATTTAGCCCACTTCATGAATGAAAAGGTGGCCACAATTCTTCTCTGCTCCTCCCATCTGGTGGTGCTGTCTATCCCCCTTGTTTGAACCTAGGCTGCCCTCGTCCCTGGCTTCGACCAACAGAATATGGCAGAAATGATGCTGTGTATCTTTCAAGACTGGATCTCAGGAGAGCTGCAGCTTCTGCTTCTGCCCCTCTTGGAATGTTCCCTTTTGGGAGCCAGTTACCATGTAGAAGTACAACTACAGTAAGCCCATCATGCTGTGAGGAAGCCCAAGCTTCGTGGATGGAGAAAGGCTAGGTGGAGGAGCACTGACGTGCCACAATGTGCGTGATCAGAATGTGAGGGATGCCCTTTTGAATTTTCCAGGCCTGCCCATTTGAAAGCAGCTGAGTGAATGACTACAACCAACACCACGTGGAACAGAAGAGCTGCTAGCCAAACCCTGCCCAAATTCCTGAGCCACAGACTCACCAACAGATAAGATGGTTGTCATTTTACACCACTAATGTTTGAGGAGCATTTATTACATTGCAACAGGTCACTCACACTCTTAAGGACCATTCATATATTTTTCATTGCAGGAAAATCAGTGTATTTAATTAAAGGGCCACTCCAGACTTTCCCAAGGGTGTTATGTAGTGCATGGTATATGCACATTTTACCTTTCTAAAATAAATCTGAATTTTAAAATCCATCTGGCTGCAAGGGTTTTTTGAGAAGAAACTGTCCTTTGTATTACAGAAATAGAGTTGCCTGGAGTTCCTTCCTGTCTTCCTGCATTCCCTAAATATCATGAATGATTCCACAGACTCCTCCAGCCATTTCGTATGTGTACCTCTTATCTCCCCAGTTACATTACTGGTTTCTCTACACCAGTACCTCTCGAACTGTGCATGTATCAGTCTCTCCGAGAGCTTGTTCAAACACAGCTTCCTGGGCTCTGCTCTCACAGTTTCTGACTCAGTGGATCGGAAGAGGGGCTTGAGAACTTGCATTTCTGAAAATTTCCTAGGGACCACACTTTGAGAACCACTCCTCCAGGGGCGAGTGCCATTTTCATTTTGGTTGTATTTGCCCACCAGTGCAAGGTGCTTAGCAAACGCTCACGGATAGAATTTTCCCAAATCTTTATCTTTGTAATGCTTGTGAAGCCTTAACTTTTACTCCTGAGGTTGTCTGGGCTTGGCCCTTGACCGACAAGAAACTAACTCCTTGTTTTATTACTAACTCCATGGTAGTTTTTGCTTTCTTCTCAGTTCAGCTGATAGGACCTCGTGGGTGAAATGTCCCTTCTGACCTCTTTTTAAACCTCTCTTGGAAGAGAGCAGAGGAAATGTCTTCACTGTGACCGCAAAGCAATTCCCAGGGTGTGACCAATGATTATTTCCACCCACAACCACCCAGAACATGCTGTTTTTGGTGAGAGGTCCACCTATCAAAGCCTGTGTTTTAGGGATGGTATCAGTGAGGCCCAGGGAGGTGGAACCACGTGCTCATGGTCATAGAGCTGATAAATGTCAGTGCCCTGGTATTGGGGCTCAGGTGGAATTTGGCCCTAAAACAAGGTACTGAATAAATAGGACTCTGTTATCTTCAGGTCGGGGGCTGGCGCCTCGGCTCCAGGACCCCCACGACAGAGCCACTAAGTGCTTCCTGAAACCCCGGATGCTGTAGTGCATTTACCCCACAGCACAGTCTCTCGGTGAGGAGGACAGACGCTGCTTGATTGGTTGAATGAAATGCCTTTGCCCGTTGCATTTTGGCGTGCAGGGGTACAAATTCTAATACTGATTACGAAAAGCACAGCCCCTATGTCACCAACTTCACTTTGCACACGCACACTTTCCAGCTTTTCCCCAAACATTTCCTTCCAAGGGTGACTGAACAGAGTCACGCCGATCCACCTTGACCGGGGACCCAAATACTTCACCTCCACCCCCACCCCCCACCCCATCTCCGGACCTGGAGCCGTCACCACGGCTCCACGGCTCCTCGAGACCCAGCCACTGCGTGCGCCTGCAGGCGTCTCGCCCTCAAAGCCCAGAGATTAAGTTGGTTCCTCACATTGTTCCCGACAGGAGGGGCAGGAAATAACGCCGGGCTGCGGTGGCGGCCGCAGCGGGCGGGGGAGAACCTCGGGCCGTCTCCTGGGCAGTCCTGGCGGCCTCGCATCGATCTCGGGTCTAAGGTCCGGCCGGGTCAGAGTTCCCGCGGCTCTTCCTCGCCTGCGAGTCGCCACCCCACCCCCTGGCCCCGTCGCCGCTCCGGGAACTCATTAGCGGAGGCCTCGGTGTCCCCGAGGGGCCCTGCAGCCTACGCCGTGGTCAGGTGCGAGGAGACAGGTCATCGGTGGCTGCCCGCCCGAGGGAGGCGGGGCCTGTCCGAGGCCCGGGCCGGGCAGGGGGCAGCGGGCGGCCGGGACCCCGCGTCCCCTCCTCCTCCGCGCCGCAGCCTTGCGACCCTGGGCGCGACTCCGCGCCCCCTCCGCCGCACCGTCCCCGGCAACAGGTGAAGAGGCGGCCGGCGGCTGTGCCCCCGCGGGGCGGTCCCTCCGCTGCGCGCCTCGCGCCCGCCCCTCTCCACGCCCCCTACCCTCCCCCCCGGCCACCGCCGCTCGCTTCGGCCGCCCGGCGGCCTCCTCTGGCTCGGACTCCTGCTCTCGGGCCCCATCGCCGCCTGAGAGCCCGCACGCCGAGGAGCGGGGGCGCCACGCACTCGCAGGACTCGCGCCGCTGCTGGACCGGCCGCGGCTGGCACCCCCGCGTGCTCCCCTCCCCCTCGCCGGGGTCCCGGGGCTCCGGGCCGCGCGTCCAGCCTCCGACGCGCAGGGGGGTCCCAGAGGAGGGGCCAGCCCGGCCAAGGCGCGACGATGGAGGACCCGCAGCGTGCCCGCCCGCACACCGTCACCACCACCGCCAGCTCTTTCGCGGAGAACTTCTCCACCACCAGCAGCAGCTTCGCCTACGACCGGGAATTCCTTCGCACAGTGCCCGGGCTCCTCATCGTGGCGGAGATCGTGAGTGCCTGGGGGCGGGGAGGCGGGGGCCAGGCGGACCTGCGCGCACTCCGCGGAGTCCGCCGACGGGCTTCGAATGAGCCCTTTTCGCTCGGCCTCGCCTCCTTCCCAAAGGGCCAGACTCAGAGACCACCGCTCAAAACCAGGTCCAGTTACCTTGGCTCAGGACCCTCAGTATGTCTGATGGGGGAGAAACCCAATTTGCTGGGACCCGTCGGTGGGTCGGTGGTCGTGGCGTATCTTGGGAGCAGGCAAGGAGTTTATGTTAATAAGTGTCACGAACACCTAGTGTGGCCCTTACCTGATCTCCACGTGGGTGGTCTCCTCCCTAAAGCACAGCTTTGCAAAGATCAGTGGACAGGAGAGGATTCTTTCATTTTTCTAATTATCTCCCTGGTAATAAAATTGAGGTGAGTCAAGAAGTGTTCACCGAATAAAATCTGAGGGCCTCAACCTCCGAGGACCGAAGGGGCTCCTGCTTGGTGCTGGGGCACATCCTGGTTTAGGCTTAGAACATTCCTGGGGAGGAGGCCGGGCGCGTGCATTGTCCTCTTCATAGGAGGACATGGAGGCCCAGAGGTCAAGTGATTTCCTAAGAAGTCCCAGCCAGCCCTTCATGGCAGAAGGACTGGTGCCCTGTTAACCAGCCGCTAGTGGTGGCCACCGTTCAGAGTCTTCAGCATGTGCCAGAGTCTCCTTAGGTACCTTCTGCCCTCATGTGATCCACACAACAACCCTACCCTACCCTGTGAAGGTGGCTTCGGTTATTATCCCATTTTACATGTGAAGAAACTGAGGCACAGAGAGGGGCAGTGAGTCACACCTGGAGGTGGAGGAGCGGGAAATCAGACCCCAGGCTGCCTGTGGTCAGGGGCCTGCTCTTAGCTGCTGACGGGCGGGCGTGACACCCAGCTGCCTAACTGGGGCGGGACCTCCGTTCACCGCGTACTTTTCCTTTAAACATCTGAGGAGGGAAAAGCAAGCCTATATGGGGGTAGAGAATGGGAGCCTTGAGGGTGCGCAAGTGTGAGAAGCCCCGTGTTTGTCGAGTAGCTTACTCGCGCCTCCATTGTCTCAGACCCCACCCCAGACCCAATGAATCAATCCCAGGTAGTTCCAGGGCGCTGCAGGTTTGAGAAGTGTTGGTTTAGCCCATCCCCCGCTCCTTCCCTCCGCTGGTTTTGAAGGACTTTAGAAGACCCAATAAAAGGCTGAGGGATTGGAATCACCTTGCAGGGGCTGGCTTATAGGAATTCAGCAAATATTTGCTGTGTGAAGGGAGGAGCTGGCAGGTTCCCTCGCTCTGTTGGAGCAGACAGAAGCTAGAGTGACAGAGATGGGGCTTCTACCCTGGGGTGGGTTTCTACCAGGCATGAAGTGAATTGCCTCTTGTTTTCTGATTTACGGTCAATAGGTTCAATGTTCCACACTATTTCAGAAAATAAAAAAGTGAAGGAAGAAAAATTGTAAATGGCCCGCAATCCCATTGCTAGAAATAACCACTGTTGGTATATTGGCATGCATCCTTTTAGATTTCAATACATTTTTTTTGAAAAAGGCAGAAAAACGCCCTGGCTGGCGTAGCTCAGTGGATTGAGCACGGGCTGCGAACCAAAGTGTCGCAGGTTCGATTCCCAGTCAGGGCACATGCCTGGGTTGCAGGCCATAACCCCCAGCAACCGCACATTGATGTTTCTCTGTCTGTCTCCCTCCCTTCGCTCTCTAAAAGTGAATAAATAAAAAATCTTAAAAAAAAAAGAAAAAGGCAGAAAAACATGTAAGAAAAATGACCCTTATTAGTACTCTAATTGAGTTTTTATTTTTGACAGAGCTGTATGCACTCATGTTTATAGAGGCAAACAGTCCTGTAGGCACAAATGTTTCCCCCACCACTGCTGCTATTCCTAGAGGCACTCAGATTCAAACCTCTTAGAGCTCTAAATAATGTGATACGTGTTTTTCCAATTGTAGGTGTTATCCGTCAGTCACCCACCCTGAAAGATGAGGTTGTACCTGTCCTGGATGCCCTCCTCACCACCCCATTATTCATGTACCCTCCTGACTCCCACCACGTTTTGGGTTGGATCAGTAATAGGTGCTGACCACAGACGCGGAGGCCTGTGGGCACTTTTCCATTCTTGCCCGATTTTTTGTTCTCCCTGGAGTTCGTAATCCGTTTTCTCCCATGTTTTAGTCCTCTAGATATTAAGTCACTCATTTTACCTTCGTTGTCTAAATCTCCTCTTAGGAAAACTGAGAGATGTTGAGACAATGGAGAGGTATTCTGTCAGAGTCATCCTCACAACCGAACCCTCCACAGGAGCCTCTGACCTGCTCCCCTACCTGGCCTGCTCCCCTGGAACAGCTGATGGCCTGGGTTCTCCTGCACCATCACCTGGAGATTCTCTCCCTGTCCTGGGTTGGATTCCCCGCTTCCCATGAGCAGTGTCCTCCTTGTCTTGCCTTCCTCTGTGAGGGGTGTGTTGGGTGGGGGGGGGGGGGGCGCGGAAGCACAGCCTCTAATAGTTTCCTAAGGATACACGTATAGATTGAGCTTTGCATCTTTCAAAATGTCTTGATTTGACTATTAACGCATAATTAATAATTTGGGTAAAGAATGTTAGATTGGCAATTGTTTTTCTTAAGAATTTTTTAAGTATTCCTTTACTGTCTTCTAGTTTTTCTGTTTCTTTTTTAAAAAGTATTTATTTCAGACCTGGCTGGTGTTGCTCATTTGGCTGGGGTATCATCCTATAGCAAGGCTGCGGGTTCCGTTCCTGGTTACAGCACATCCCTAGCCCATCCCAGTCCGAGTGTGTACAGGGGACAACCAATGGGTGTTTCTCTCTCCGATCAACGTTTCTCTCCCTTCCTCTCTCTCTAAAAAGGGATGAAAAAATATCCTTGCATGAGGATTAAAAAAAAATGTTTGTCTCAATTCTTCTTTAAATTTTTTTATGAGTTTGTTTGACCACATGTACCTTCATACGAGTTCATTTTCTTCCGTTCTACTGGGGACCTGGTATGTTCTCTCAATCGGAAAAACTGACATCTCTTTAAGGAGATTTTTAGAATTTTGATTCTTATCTTTGCATTTTCTCAGTTTTTTTCTGAAACTCCTTTTATACTTTTTTTTTCTGTGCATCTATTTCCTCATCATTGTTTTCATGGATGAAAGACCTGCTGTGTTCACTTCCCACACGGGGAGCATTTCCAGGGCCTGGGATCTCTTGCATTATTATCACAGTGTTCTGTCATCAGGAAGCACCGTTTGATTTCCTCAGTTTTCCATTTTATTTTTTCTTTATTTTTATTTATTTTTAGAGATGGGAAGGGAGGGAGAAAGAGAGAGAGAGAAACATCAATGTGTTGTTGCCTCTCATGTGGCCCCCACTGGGGACCGGGCCTGCAACCTGACTGGCATGTGCCCTGACTGGGAATTGAACCTGCGATGCTTTGGTTTGCAGCCTGCACTCAATCCACTGAGCTACACCAGCCAGGGCTTCCATTTTAAAACTAGCATGTTTCTGGGTGTTACTAGTATATAGCCAGTGCTATAGCAATCTTCCTTGTTTGTCCCTCTTTCCACATTTGTCCAGAAAGTTCCTTACAGTTGAATGGTTGTGTCAAAGGGTATGCAAATTGAAGTGTTTTGTTACATATTCTGAAATTACCTTTCTCTAAAGTTGTACTAGTTTAAACTGTCATCAGTAGTGTGAGGCTATTAAACTGAAAACACTTTTTTAAAAAATTAGAAATCAAAATTTAAAATGTTAAGGACCACCTTAAATGATATACAGTTTAATTAATGCCAAGGTACTTTTTGTTCAGATTTTAATATCTGAGTCAGGATGCAGCTTACAATGGATGGCTTCCTGGATGTAATGAAAATACTCTACCACTAAATCTTTCTTCATGTGGGTGGGGGAAAGGGCACAGGTGTCAAACCATTGCCATCCCAGCCCTGGGATTAATATAGACCCACCTCCAGAAGAATGTTACTTTTCTGCCTTGACAAAAACAAAATACTGAGACATGGAATTACTAGGAACCCGACTTCCTGCTTGAACCCAGGGGAAATGAAATAACAGAGAACAAAACATTTCCCCGGATCTGTGGTCAGAAATCCCTTGCTCTGGCTTTCTCGCAGGGGTGGGTGGTAGTAGCTAACCTACTAAAACGCTCCAGGCCGTGCCAGAAGAACACGGTGTTGAAACCAAATGGTACTTGTTTCCTTTTTAAAATTGTATAACGAACTAATAGCAATGCAGCACTTGACCTGTGATTTGCAGGATACTGTGATCTCAGAGCGATCATAAGTACCTGGAGAACAAAAGTGATTTGTCAGAAACTGAGTGAGTTGCACCCTTCCTGTTCCTGGTGACTTCAAAATGAACTACAGCATCCGTGTGATAGTGTTAGGTCACCTTTCATTTACTCGTTATCATGAGCAAACTTGGTTGGGGAAGGACAAGAGTAGGGTTTACCAAGAGCTGGAATCTAAATAAAGTACTCTATCCCATTGAGTTCCTTTTGTAAAACATGGGGAACATTGTTTCCATTTCACAAAAAACAATACCTAATCTTTGCAGAAAAATTTAAAAAGTATTGATAAAGAAAAAATTGTAATTCTTGCTTTCACAGTGGTCCCTAACAGGCCTGGTGCAACCCCACATCTGGGAGTGGGTGGTTTTGGGGTTTTTTTGTTTGTTTGTTTGTTTGTTTGTTTGTTTCATGGTTATTGTAATGCCTGGAGTTTCTATTGGTGTTAAGTGCCCTGGGGACCAGGTATGCTAAATGTCCCCAGGTACCTGGGACAGTCCCCAACAATGAAGAATTGCTTCACCAAACTGCAAACAATAGTTAAGGAACTCTGAATGAACCCACTGTTTACTTCTTGGAGTAAACCATCCCGGAATTTCCCAAGTGGTTATACTATTTATCTCTAATTTTTTGAATGCATTCACTTGCCAGCTACTTTTTGTTTAGCGCTGCGGCCA